TGTTTTTATTGAAAAATTGGCTAGTAAAAAGATGGTGAAGGAAAAAGATATGAAATAAATAAGGTGATGAAATTTGGGTTTGAGTTTGGTTGAAAATATTGAGAAATAAAAAATTGAATATGAAGAAGAGTAATTTGGGTTGCGAAACTTGCGTTGTGGAGTCATAGTTTTATAGCTAAAAGAGATGATGACATATAAGCTGACCTTTTCGATATTGCTTTCATTTTCACACTTCATTCATTTGAACGTTGATTTTTATTTTTATTTTTCCTTTTTTTTTTAATTTCTTTTGAAAAAAAAATACATTTTTTATAATCTTAGGTATGCGTTTTCATGTGGAGTAATTTTATATTGACTAGACAATCAATTATTCTCCCAAACTAAATATATATTGCGGTATGCCAAACTTTATTTTTATGGTTAATGGAAAATATATGGAAAAAAAATATATATAAAAATATAAAATATCCTCATTTTGCGTAACATATAAATCATTTTACATGATCAAACAAGTGTGATGAATAGTGCAAAAGTCCAGTTGTTGCAATAATTTTGGAACGGAGGAAATACTGTAGTCCCCATATTATTAAGTACTCCCTCCGTCCCCTTTTGATAGTCACTTATGTCACTTTTGGTGACCCAAAATGTTAGTCACATTTAGAGTTGTCAATTCGGGTAAACAGATCAGGTTAGGGTCGGGTCAACTCGGGTCGGGTCAATTCACATTAATTCCATAACCTATGCGGGTCGGGTTTGGGTTGGGTCATGCTTGAGTCGGGTCACGTCGTGTCATACTTCTTATCGGGTTTGGGTGGGGTTTAGGTCAGGTTAATAACAGGTCGGGTTACATTCAATTCGGGTGAACAGTAGGTAGGGTTTAATTTGGGTTTTAACGGGTTAAAACGGGTTAGGGTAATTCTCGGATTCAGGTCGGGTTTGGTTCAAGTTAATAATTTACGGGTTAGAATCAGGTCAGGTCAATCTCGGGTTTGAGTCGGGTTCGGTTCAAGTCAATAATTTGCAAATTATAATCAGGTTGGGTCATTTTCAAGTCGGATCATTCTCGGGTTCAAGTCGGTTTCAGTTCAAGTCAATAAATTGCGGATTATAATCAGGTCGGGTCATTTTCAAATCGGATCATTCTCGGGTTCAAGTCAAGTTCAGTTCAAGTCAATAAATTGCGGGTTATAATCAGGTTAGGTCATTTCCAAGTCGGGTTATGCTCGAATTCAAGTCGGGTTATGTTCAAATCAATAATTTGCAGGTTACAACAGGCCGGGTCATTTCCAAATCAGGTCATGTTCGGGTTCAACTAACTATAAATAGATAATTATCATTTTTATCAAGCTAATTATTTTCTTTAACTTTAATATATATGGCAATATACTAGGAAACTATAGTCTATAATTTAGGAAGATAATTATCTACTTTGACCATACAATAAATATATACTATATTTAACTCTTAAATTTGAGGATGATGCTCCTTTCTTTTGTTGGCCTGGAACGACTTGGTCTCCCAAGACAAAATTCTTTGATCAATAATAATAAGGTGGTCTAAATTGCATTTAAGGTGATTTGAAATCGGGTCAGGAACAATTTGGGTTGAAATTAGGTCGGGTCAATAACAAGTCGTCTTAATTTCGAGTCGGGTTAGTAACAGATCGGGTTGAATTTTTGGGTTGGGTAAGTAATAGGTTTGGTAAAATTCGAGTCGGGTCAATAACAAGTCGGGTTGAATTTGTGTCGGGTCAATAACAAGTCGGGTTGATTTCGGTTCGGGTTTATTACAGGTTGGGTTAAATTCGGATTGGGTTAGGAACGGGTCGGGTTGAATTCAGTTCAGGTTAGTAACAAGTCAGGTTAAATTCGGGTTTTGACGGGTTAAAACGGGTTTGGGTCAATTTCGATTCAAGTCGGGTTCGGTGCAAGTTAATTGAATTGGTCGTTGTAAGTCGGTAAATCGGTGCAAGTTGTAAACCGGTAAGTTGGCCGTTTAAAAGCAAATTGAATGGTTCCACACACCCAATTGGACTCCCGGAGAATATTAGGGACCATGGTAAACATTTCAGAAATTTTTATTTCTGAATGAAAAAAAAACAAAAAACAAAACAAAAAATTCAAAAATTGAAGACTAATATCCACGCTTTTTGAGAAATTTTGGAGGTTTCGAGACCCGGTGTCGAAAAGTCTTGAAATTCTATAAGATACATCTCGAGGTCATATAATGCCGTTTGGAACCATATATGATCATTATATGTTGTCATAAATGTTCGTCGTAGGCTTGAATTAATGAAATCCGTGCAACTTGTAAACCGGTAATTAAATTGGTCGTTTAAAGGCAAATTGGATGGTTCCACCAACCTAATTGGACTTCCGGAGGGTATTAGGGACCATGGTAAACATTTCGGCAATTTTTATTTCCGAGGGGAAAAAAAGTCAAAAATTTTCAAAATTAAAGGCTAATATCCACGCTTTTGAGAAATTTTGGAGGTTTCGGGGCCCGGTGTAGAATAGAAATGAGATTTTATTAGATACATCTCGGGGTCATATAATGACGTTTGAAACCATAAATGACCATTATATGTTGTCAAAATGTTCGTGGTAAGCTCGAGTTAATGAAATAAGTGCAAGTTGTAAACCGGTAAATTAACCGTTTAAATGCAAATTGGATGGTTCCGTCCACCTAATTGGACTACCAGAGGGTATTAGGAACCATGGTAAAAATTTTGGCAATTTTTATTTTCTGGCGAAAAAAGTCAAAAAATTCCAAAATTAAAGGCTAATATCCACGCTTTTTGAGAAATTTTTGAGGTTTCGGGGTCCGGTATCGAAAAGCTTTGAGATTTTAGGGGATACATATCGTGGTCATATGATACTGTTTTAAACCATAAATTATCATTATATGTTGTCATAAATGTTCGTGATAGGCTTGAGTTAATGAAATCGGTGCAAGTTGTAAACCGGGTAAATTTACCATTTAAAGGCAAATTGGATGGTTCCACCCACCTAATTGGACTCCCGGTGGGTATTTGGGACCATGGTAAACATTTCAGCAATTTTTATATCCAGACGAAAAAAGTAAAAAAATTCCAAAGTTGAAGGCTAATAATATCCACGCTTTTTGAGAATTTTCGAACGTTTCGGGGCCCAGTGTCGAAAAGTATTGAGATTTTAGGGGATACATCTCGGGGTCATATAATGCCGTTTGGATTCATATATGATCATTATATGTTGTCATAAATGTTCGTGGTAAGCTTGAGTTAATGAAATCGGTTCAAGTTGTAAACCGGTAAATTGGTCGGTTAAAGGCAAATTAGATGGTTCCACCGAGCCAGTTGGACTCCCGGAGGGTATTAGGGACCATGGTAAACATTTCGGCAATTTTTATTTCCGGGTGAAAAAAAAGTAAAAAATTCCAAAATTGAAGGCTAATATCCACGCTTTTTGAGAAATTTTGGAGGTTTTGGGTAGAGCTGTCAATTCGGGTAAATGGTCGGGTTTGGGTCGGTAAGAGTGGGTCGGGTCAATTCGGATAAATTCCATAACCTATGCGGGTCGGGTTTGGGTTGGGTCATGCTTGAGTCGGGTCACGTCGAGTTATACTTCTTATCGGGTTTAGGTCGGGTTTAGGTCAGGTTACATTCGGGTCAGGTGAACAATAGGTCATGTTTAATTCGGTTTTTCACGGGTTAAAACGGGTTTGGGTAATTCTCGAGTTTGAGTCGGGTTGGTTCAAGTCAATAGTTTGCAGGTGAGAATCAGGTCGGGTCATTCTCGGGTTTGAGTCGGGTTCAATTTAAGTCAATAATTTGCAGATTATAATCAGGTCGGGTCATTTTCAAGTCGGGTCATTCTCGGGTTCGGTTCAATTCAATAATTTGCGGGTTATAATCAGGTTGGGTCATTTCCAAGTCGTGTCATTCTCGGAGTCAAGTCGGGGTATGTTCAAGTCAATAATTTGCAGGTTACAATCAGGTCGGGTCATTTCCAAGTCAGGTCATATTCGGGTTCAACTAACTATAAGTAGATAATTATCATTTTTATCAAGCTAATTATTTCCTTTAACTATAATATATATGCCAATATACTAGGGAACTACAGTTTATAATTTAGGAAGTTAATTATCTTCTTTGACCATAGAACAAATATAAACTATATTTCACTCTTAAATTTGAGGATGATACTCCTTTCTTTTGCTGGCCTTGACCGACTTGGTCTCCCTAGACAAAATGGTTTGATCAAAAATAATAAGGTGGTCTAAATTGCATTTAAGGTGATTTGAAATCGGCTCAGAAATAATTTGGGTTGAATTTAAGTTGGGTCAATAACAAGTCATGTTGATTTTGAGTTGGGTTAGTAACAGATCGGGTTGATTTTTTTTGTCGGTTTAGTTCGGGTCGGGTCAATAACAACTCGGGTTGAATTTGGGTCAGGTCAATCAAGTCGAGTTGATTTCGGGTCGGGTTTGTAACAGATTGGGTTAAATTCGGGACAGGTTAGGAACGAGTCGGGTTGAATTCAAGTCAGGTTAGTAACAAGTCGGGTTAAATTCGGGTTTTGACGGATTAAAATGGGTCTGGGTCAATTTCGGTTCAAGTTGGGTTCGGTTCAAGTCATTAATTTACGGGTTACATTCAGGTCGGGTCATCTCCAGGTCAGTTTATGTTTGGGTTCGGGTCTCACATACTCGGGTCTAGGGTTGGTTTCAGGTCGTGTCAGATCGGGTTTGGGTCACCATTTTTTCGGGTTCAGATGGGTCGGTTAATAATCGAGTTTGAGTCGGTATTTCGGGTCGGGTCAACTTTTGACAGCTCTAGTCACATTTGCTTTTTTCAAGTACCATTAATATTATTATTTTTACCAAAATTCTCTTCTATTTACAAAAATATTTGTGCAAAGTAAACTTTCCCATGTACTTTAATTATTTTTTTCCTTTTAGTTTTTTGCATACTCAATGTACTTTTACTACTTCTTACTTATGTTTATTAATTCCCATGATTTTCTACCAAAAATGACTATCAAAAGGGCAGGAGGGGTATATATATATAATCCCATAATCTGCAGAATTTTACACTCAGTTTAACCGTTGTTACAGATTTATACGCTGATGTACAGAGTATCAATGGGCTAAAAAAAACAACAGTAGTGTAACAAGGTAAATATCAGCTGGATGTAAACATGTAGGAGCCATATGACATGGTGCCATGATCCCAGCTGTTATGAATGAGCTCTGCCTTCCAGTTTTCACCGGCGGCTCCCATGGCTACATGTAATGGATAGAAGTGCTCTGGCCATGGATGCGCCAATTTCCAGTTAGGTGCTTTGGTTTCACATTTATTCACTTCTTCATACCTGAAAAACAGAGCGAATTATAGTTATATACTCATAGTAAAGACCTATGTTTCGATAGTAAGGTTTTTCATCGAATCTCTGTCTAAGCGAAAGGTGTATTATGCAGTCCTAGAGAAACATACCCTCGGATCCCTAATCACTATGCTCACCAAAATGCTTCTTATTGAGTTACTAAATTTGCACTCATGAAAGAACAATGACATTATAGTTTACAGTCAAGACAAGAACAATAAAGATTGACTCAATTCCTGAGAGGTTTCCACTTTCTACCTCATAAAGCATCATGGATAAAAAAAAAAAAGGCAAGATTCGAGCACAGAACAGGTGCAGATGATGTGCTAAACCGCGACACCATAGCATTTCTGAACATTATTGAATAAACCATGTATAAAATCGTGCCATATCATGCACAACATTCTGTACATGTAGAATTTCAATTAAAAAAGACTGAGAACTAGTGAGGTTACCTTCCATTTGTTATAGCTGTTTCAAGCCAGCGATCAAAATCTGTAGCCCATGGAGCAACTCCGTCATAAAAATGAGGGGTACTGTTCGAAGGGTGTGTTGCACTTCCAGAACCAATGATGAGTACACCTTCATCCTTCAGAGGAGCCAATGCTCGTCCCAATTCGTAGTGGTATGCTCCATCCAAATGCGATTGAACAGAGAGCTGACAAACAGGAATGTCAACCTCGGGATACATGAACATCAGAGGCACCCATGCACCATGATCCAGCCCACGTTTCTTGTCAATGTTTACAGTTTTGAACCCTGATGTAGTAAGAAGTTCTTGTACCCTCTTTGCCAAATCTGGAGACCCTGGAGCTGGATACTTGAACTGTAAACCAAATGAAGGTATGTTAACATTCTAATTCCTCACTCTGTATTGTATTAAATGCTCAGTAAAATATTGCTAAAATAAAACTTTTCACCCTAATAACTGCATTTGTGTAAGTATGCAGTACACGGACATTTGAGTGCATACTAAGTTACTAACACGCGAAATTTGACAAATATAACACCCCGTTTCAGAATGATATATAAGATTTCATGCTCATAACTCTTAAGCCTCATTGCAGTACACAGACAACACAGTATTGAACATTACATAATTTTCATTCCCATTTGAGGTTCGACTGTTGACCATACATTGAATTTACCTTACATAGTTACATGAAACTACTAAGTACAACAAAAATTAGCTAGGGGCAATCTTTACAATATTCCTAACGAATTTATAGAACTTTTTTGGATTTTCTTGACTAGTTGGCCCTTGGGGACATTTGAATACAAACAAGTGATAAACGCGAATTACTAACTAGCATAAAATTAAATGATCATATAAAATCATTTGCAACATAACCCGGTAAATTCTATTGTACAACCAGTTGATAAATGAATAAATCATACAAGAGATTTGGTTCTTAGTACTCCATAGTTTCTTACCGTACACATAATAATAACCTTTGGTTGATCTTTCATCCATTCAGAAATGAAATTTTCTGTCAAATATCCTACTAAAAACAGTTGAATGATACCCTTGAAGAAGTTACTACAAACAGATAAAACTCTAATTTGAGATCCCCATCTTTCACAAATTCCATTTATAACTACCCTGATAATTGCATTATCCAATCTTTTTCCCAAAATTTAAGAACTCACACATTTCAATAACCTAGACAATATTCATTGTAAAATGAAATTATTTCCTTTTATAGAAATAAATAATAATAAACCAACTGCAAAAATTAATAACCCAGAAATTAAAACCCCACAAAACGAAAAAAATAAATAAATCCAACTATAAAAAAAGGGAGGAGAAAGAAGGACCTGATACATGCGAGCAGGGAAGCCATAGAAATCATAGATGGTATCATTGACGTCCACAGAATTTACAGCAGGTTCATCAGTTTCCCAGTGAGCTGAAATTACCAAAATAGCCTTTGGTTTCTTGGAATACACTTTCTCTCTCCAACTTTCTAAGAATTTTCTTGAAGGTTTTGACTCTTCAATAGTCATCATTGGAGTTCCATGAGATACAAAAAACGTTTCTTTGATGTTTTCTTCTCCACCCATTTCTTTCAATTTGGAATTAATCAAGAATTTTAGTGAAGATTTTCTTTTGATTTGTGCAAGTGTGCAACTGTTGAAAATGAAGGAATTTTAAGAAGTTTGGGTGGTTGTTGATATTTATGGCATAAGAAGAGGAACATGTTAGAAGATCATCATTTATCATAAAATCCTGTTGAAAATGATATTTCGCTATTATTATAAATGACAAAGTATTTTGCCAACAAAGCATTCAAAAGTCCACCAATAATCCAAATTTATATGGGTTATAGACTTATGGGTCTTATTATATATGCAGGATAACAAGCATTATTATTTTAGATATTAATATTGTATACAATGTATATTCATTTTTCTTACAATTAGTTTTCTTTAAAATTTCCTCAGTAAATAAAATATCCAATATATGAATAAAATAGAAGAAGAAAAAAAACTAAAAATGGCAATATTATTCTTATTCTATATTAATTTTTTAAAATAGATTTTTGATGGCACAATTAAGTTTGGAATAACATCTTTATACATAGGATTGGACTAAGAACTTGGAAGGGAAATAAAAAATAATTTGAGAGAGATTAGAAAAGGATGGTGACAGGAAATCAAAACTATTATTTCAAAATTAAAATAATTAATCAACCATATTCAACACGATACAGTTTCTTTCTAACAGGAAGACAAATTTAAACTAGCAAATATAGTTGGAACAAATAAGTAATACACAAAGCATGGAATGAAAAACAGAGAACATACAAAATTAACAGGGCTGCTGATATAAATTGAGCAAAATGAAATATCTGAAATCAATACACATCAGGATCACCGGATTTGTCAACCTTCAAAGGTAGGAGTCACATAAGGCTCAAAATTTCACCATTGGTGTGTTCACAAAATCTGCAAGGGCAATTACTTGACTTTCCATTATGCTTCCTCTTAAGTTTGAATGATCATTCACCATAATTTTCAAACCCTTACACAAAAAGAATGCTTACCTAGCTGAAATCAGAATCAATCAAACAATGTATTCAGAAAAACCTTTTCTCTAATTTATGCAACTCAAAATATTCTTCACCCAAGATCAGTGAACCGTATCACGATTTCAATTTCTTCCGCAAATGCGGCCTTGGGGCCTTGCTAAGCGACTTAGCACCCGCTTCAGCATAATTCCTAAGCTTTTGTATGATCCTTCTTTCACTAACACGAAGGACCAACGAATGGTACAACTTCCTATCTATACTACAGTCACATTTACTTAAGCTCTCCATATCATGTTCCAATGAGCTAGTGCCATACAAGCCCTCTCTTATATCAGCAAGGGACATTAGAGCCTTGCGGACACTCTTTGTCAATAACATATCAGTGCTCATTTCAGATATTTTCCCCTGCAGAATTTTTCCTGCCTTAGATGTATTTGAATGATCAGACTCGCTGGGATTTCCTTTTGAGGCTAAGGTGAGATCCAACTTAGTATATGTTTCTTCAGGCAATAAGACTATATAAAGCAAAATTAATAGCTCGAGTTGGGGTTCCCCTTCATATGAAATCTCAAAGTATTCTGAGTTCTGGCTTTCACAGCCAGAATACCCAAGCTTTCTCCATAAAGACAGTCTTGCTCTGCTGTGACGACCAGAAAAGAGAGATGAACTCCATTGAAGCACAAGTTCTAAGTCAATATTGATAATGTCGAAAGGATTATCTAGTTCTGTAAATCCATATCTATGCAGCAATGCTGCATTGCCCACATACCCATACGTGTTAAAGACCTGAAAAATTAAGAGAAGTCAGAAAATCCATGTTTTCATCCATAAATCAATAATGGTCAAAACTTCTCCCTTCATAACTCATTGACAAGGATATTGCCACACATTCAAGAGTGAAAGAGGGCGGGGGGGGGGGGGGGGGGTATTCCAGATGGCAATGCATTATCTAGTGAAAGATATTACTATACAAGATGCTAACCTCTGAACCAGCTTTGACATCCTTCACAAGAATCATTTCTAATACCAAGGGATTGTCTGGTGTCTCTTCAGAATCTAATTTCGGGCCATCTGAAGAACTCTGTACCACTGAAGTACCCGACAAACCATTCTCTTTAAACAAAGATTTTCCACTTGAGATTTTATCACTGCTATCAATCTCATCATCATCAGTCACACTCGAAACACTGTCATCAGATTCATCAGGTGACGAAGAAGTGGTGAAGTGCACATCCTCAGCTCCAGTCTTGTGATTAAAACTATTTATCAGGAGAGAATTTCGCATTCTTATTCATTAAAACTTACAAATATCTAAATTTCTTGTATATATGTAATTGTAATTGAAAATGAGAGAAGATGGATGAATGAGTGAATTTGATTAGCAAGCAAGCGAAGCAAAATGTTATCATTGATTTTGCAATAATATAAACAACTCTCCATTGTCACTCAATTTAGATAACTGCAATATGTCAGAACCAATCATTCATTGGGTGAAGAGGAAGTGCATAACTTACAGGTCTGCTAAAGGAACCATACCAGCACCATGGTAATCATCTATTTGAAAGGATCGAGATGCAATAAGACTTTTTGCAGCAAAGTAATCTTCAACACCAAAAAATCTTGAATCAATAACAAATTTTTCTGAGTGAATCAAAGGCAGAATGCATTCTTTCCAGTCCTCATAGACAAGAGCCTTGTCTTCTTTCATTGTCTGCCTACATGTGACAAAAATCATCACAAACCGAAAATACACCATCTTCAAGCCATAATAGACAGATTTAGAAAGACAAACCAAGAGCTTCAACTAGATTGTATTAAGCAGAAATAATCTATCAGAAGCAAAGTTTCACATAAGTAGAGAATACAGTTGAACTTATCACTCGAAACTAAATGATTTTGTTATTAGAACAATGAGCTTTCCCAAAGAATCTCTAAAGGAAGCTGAATTTGATTAACTATCACTCTAATTAAACAATTCCATTTTCTTATTTCCTTGTTTTCACATACTTGAACACAAAACCATCACAAGTTCTTAAAAACTACCTATTTCATACAGTAACATAATTATGAAACCCAAAGATTCAACACAATTTGATAATGTAACTCAATTAACTAAACAAAAACCAACTTAAATCAATATGTGATCAAATTAGACAAACCCTTAAACATAGCAAACACAGCTGATTAAAAAAAAACGAGCCTTGATAACTCGCTTAGTAGGTTAAAGTCTCGTGGTACAGATACTTTTAATCAAACTCCGTCTATGTAAAAATGTTTGATCCTAACACATTTATATTGCCAAAATACAACATTTCTGAAAACAAATTAAAAACTGAAACATACATTATAACCATTGTAATAATAAATTGACAAATGAAACAAAGTAAGAATAGAGGAGAGAGAAAGAGGACCTTATGAAGCTCAGTACCAGAAAGAAGACGATCAATATCATCCAAACTCCAAACCAAAGGCAACGGTTCAAACTTAGGCAACAATTGAAGGTAACCATCCCAATTAGAGTTGGAACCCAGGCTTCTCTCATACATAACCGCAACACAAAGCCCTAAACACCCATCAAAATCAGCGTCTTCAATAATCGGCGAAGCGGAGGAAGTTCGAATGGTTAAGCAAGCATTCTTAGGGATTGTAGCAATGAGGTCGCCTTCTTTGAGTTCGGATTTCGATTTCACGCAGATTCCGGCGCTTTCTGTGTCGAGAAATTCAAGGGCGTCGCTGAATTGAATGCCGTTTGAGGTCATCCATCGCTTGAATGCTCGAAGACGCCTGTTGAGAGGAGAGAGAAAGTGTTATAGAGGAGTGTGAGAAGGGGAGTGGTGATGGAGAAGGAGAAGGAGAGAGAAAGTTTACCTGGACGCCATTGTTGCAGAGGATGGAGGTTGTCTTTGTCGTCGGCGGGAGTTTTCAGAGCGCCGTTAAACGGGATTGCATGGGTTTGAACTTTAGAATTAGGTCTTTTTCAAGCCCAATTCTATTGAATTTATTTTTTTATTTTTTTAATAATTTCTTTATCATGGCAAATACAAGTTGAAATGCTAGATTAACAAAATTGTTAATCTGGTGTCATTTTTCGTAAATATGTTCAAATATAGTGGTCATTAGTTCACTGATTTTGGATAGCTGTCCATCCATTCATGCAATTATTACTTTACCGTAGTTAGTTGGTCATCCAACGCAAATGACGCATTTACCCTTATAATGCCACTTGAAAAGACTATTAAGCCCCCAGATTTTGTTTATCTGAGGAATGAATTGGGCAGTGCTAGAGGTGGCCAGTGGGCCGGGTTGGACCCAGCCCACCCTAACTCGCACGGCTGGTGGGTCACGTGGGTCCGACCCGGTTTCAATCCGGCACAGCCCGGTACAGCTCGGATTTAATCCGGGTTGTGTCGTGGGTCCAAAATTTTCGACACAACCCATTTCAACCCAGCTCAATTTAACCCGTTTGATTCGACCCAAATCGCACAACCCGTTTTGACTCATTTAATTCGACACACCTAGCCCGTGAACCCACCTAACCCGACCCACCTGGCACAACCCAGCCCGCACGGCCCACCCGCACGAATGACCCACCCAACCCGCACGAGCCAACCCACCTAACCCGCACGCATGACCCACCCAACCCGCACGCATGACCCACCCAACCCGCACGGCCGGCACAACCCGCACGGCCCGCACAACCCGCACGGCCCGCACAGCCCGCACAATTCGCACGACCCGCACGGCCCGCACGGCCTAACATCCATTTTAAAAAAAAAAACGGCTAGTTTTTTGTATCTAACGGCTAGTTTTTTGTATCTAACGGCTAGTTTTTTAAGTGTATGATCATCCATTCTATTTTTCCTATAAATACCAATTCCATTTCACTCAAATTTCCACACAAATTCAAGCTTTCTTTCTCTCTTACTTAAAAATTCTTATTGTTCTCAAATTCTCAAGTGTTATATAGAGTTATATTTTTGTTAAAAAAAATCTCCTTAATATTATTATTAGTATTCTTAAGATTCTAAAAAAAAAAAGTTCTTCTCCATATTATAATTAGTAATCATACAAAAAAAAAAATGAGCTCAAGAGGAGGAATGGGAAGGAGTCAAAGTGGTGGTCGAAGTGGTAGCCAAAGGAGTGGTGGTGCAAATTTTTCGTATGAAATTAATACGGAAAATTTAAACCAATTTGTCAATGAATATGGAGATTATGGTTTAGGAGATAGGCAAAATATTCAAACGTCTCCACCACAACATTTCTCCCACGAGTCCCACCAATCATCAAGTTCAACTATGCCACCTCCATCGCAACCAACATCTCAACCTTCATCTCAAGGTAATTTCTAATTAAATTTTTATTGTTATGAATATTTAAAAAAACTATTATTAATGATTATAAAGTTAGTTTAGTTTCCAATTTTCTATGATTTACAATTAGTTAATTACCATGAAAAATGCGTTTAAATAAGTATAATTAAAATATTTAAAATTTAAAAGCTTATTTTCATGAATAGCATTTAAAAATTAATTTTAATAATTTGATTTATGAAAGGTGGTGGCGGTGAAAGTAGAGGTCGAGCACATTTTTCTTGGGTGTGGAAACATTTTGAACGAGTTGAGGTCACACCCCCGGGATGGCAACCTGGTCAACCAAAGAGGTTCAAGTGTACATGCCTAGTTTGCAAGGCGCTAGGTGCAAATGTCAAGTCATATAATTGGAAAACGGGAGATGGAACCGGAACCTTGAGTCGGCATTTGCAAAATAAACACGACTTGTTCGAAAATGGCCCCCGTCCTTCGGGGGGTGGCGTCCAAACACAATTGGGTGGATACATGAACCAACCCGACGGAGGTACACCTTTCATTTATAATAAAGATAGAATGATTGATGAAATGAGTACTTTAGTTATTGCTAATGAATACCCTTTTAGTTACGGTGAAAATGCAAACGTTGAGCATTTTAATAAAGTTGCATTACAACCTGCATTTACTCGTGTCCCCCGAAATACCCTAAGACGTTATACACAAACTTCTTATTATAAGTATAGGAGTGGTTTGATTGAATTATTTCGTACTTTTGATGGTCGTGTTAGTTTTACAAGTGATACATGGACTTCTAGTTTTGGCGAACCTTTTCTTTGCATTACTGCTCATTGGGTGGATGATGATTGGTTTATTCAAAAACGTATACTATGTTTTCAAGCTATGGAAGAAAGGCATACCGGTTTTAACATCAAAGTTCGTATTTTGGATTGTTTAAAAGAATTTCACTTGAATAATAAAGTTTTTTCTTTGTCTCTTGATAATGCAACTGCAAACACAAAGTGTATTGACTATTTGAAAAATGACTCCGAGTTGAATTTGTTGTTGGGTGGTAGTCTCTTGCATGTTAGATGTTGTGCTCATATTTTGAATTTGTCTGTTCAAGAGGGTCTCGCTGAGTTGCAACCATTGCTAAACCCAATTAGAACAGTTATAAAATGGATTAGGATTACTCAGTCAGTTAGAAGAAAGTACATAGCTATGTGTAAAGAGAGAGGTCTTAAGAAAAGACAATGGTCTATTGATACCCCTACCCGTTGGAATTCTACTTTCAAGTTGTTGAGTGATGCTATAAAGTATCGTGATATTTTGACCCAACTTTACAATGAGACTCGTGTTGATCCTACTGAGTTAATAACCGAAAGTCATTGGACTAATGCTTCTTTTGTTCGTGATGTTTTAAATGCTTTTGATAGTGCAACTCATATTTTCTCTTATATTTATGAGCCTAACGTTCATTTAGTCATAATTGAGTGTGTTAAAGTTGTTCACACCATCGAAGAGCATATGAAGATTGATGGACTTCGTCCCGTTCTTGATAGCATGAAACGTAAGTGGCATACTTATTTTAGTGAATTTCCAATCATTTATGGAATTGCTGCTATTCTTGACCCCGGTGTCAAAGCTGAAGGTTTGGAAAATCTTTTAGAATTTTATTATACAAGTTTAAGTATCGATTATGATGTTAGTGAATATATTAACAAATGCAAATCTGTTTTGGGAGACCTTTATGATCATTATGCATCTATTTATGGTTTTGATTTGGCAACACCAACTACTACTAGCACTTCCGATTCTAGATTTGGTTTTCTTGATAAAGTTATGAAAAAAAAACACAAAGCATCTACATCATTCTCATCATCATCTTCTTCAACACTTGCTATTAATGATTATTTGTCATATCAACATGAGACCAACAACAACTTTCAAATTATAAAATGGTGGCAAGAACATAAAAAAAAGTTTTCCTATATTGGCGAGAATTGCAAAAGATATACTTGCAGTTCCCGCTTCATCTGTTGCTTCCGAGTCTGCTTTTAGTGCAGGTAGAAGAGTGTTAGATGAAAAAAGATCTCGCTTAACTCCGGAAAGCATTCAAATTTGTGTTTGTAAGAAAGATTGGGATCAAGCTGAAAGAAGAACTCAAGGTTTAAAGGAAGACGAAGACGATGAAGATGATCCTGTGATGATATTGGAGTCGTCAACGGATGATGCAGCTTCCGGGGATGATGATGCAACAAACATGGGTGGCTAGAAAAGTCTAAATCAGGTACGCTAAGAACTACGTGGGCTTTGATTCTTTCGGGATACGTAGGCAACTTATTTTTCGAAAATTACAATTTAATTGCAAAATTAAATTTTAGTTTTCTAAAGATAGGTCCAAGCCCCCCCCCCCCCCCAAATTTCAAAAGAAGTACAATATAAGAACTACGCTGGCTTTGATTCCTTATTTTATAATATAAGGATACGTAGGCATCTTAATTAAGAGCAAGCCATCAAATTGTTAATTTTGTAAAAATTAAAACACCACACAACCCACCCGACCCTAACCCACGAACCCACCCGACCCTAACCCACAAACCCACCCGACCCTAACCCACCTAACCCACAAACCCACCCGACCCTAACCCACTAACCCACCCGACCCTAACCCACCTAACCCACAAACCCACCCGACCCTAACCCACTAACCCACCCTTCGACCCACCCTAACTCACTAACCCACCTTGACCCGTCTAACCCACGAACCTAGCTCGACCCACCCATGACCCGTCTAACCCACAAACCCAGCTCGACCCACCCACGATCCGTCTAACCCACAAACCCAGCTCGACCCACCCACGACTCGTCTAACCCACGAACCTAACCCTGGTGTGTCCAACTTCTCCGACCCAACCCACGACCCGGCCCACCCTACCCTACGTGTGTCGTGCCGTGTGTCATGAAACCCCAACCCGCGACCCACCTAACCCTAACCCAGCTCGCACGACTCGCACGGTGGACACCTCTAGGCAGTGCTCATTGGCTGAATGACTAGTAGTATTGACTAGGTGCGTTAAATGTTTAGCGCCTCTTTATCTATTTTCTACTCCGTAGTTTCTAGCTTAATTTATTTCAGCTCTACTTAGTTCAGTTCAGTTCAATTCAGCCCCAATCAATTCAATTCAGTTGTTCTCAGTAGATTGGTACTAGCCCTTAAAGTTTCTAAACTTGTAAACTGCACTAAAAAATGGTCAAGGACTCAAGGTATAAGATGGTAACATGTAAATAAACAAAGGATGTACTTCCTCTGTCTCATAATACAGTTCCTGTTTTCCTATTTTAGAGATTCAAAATATTGTTTCGGTTTCTATTTTTGAATAGTATGAAAAATAATATGTAAAATATCATTATACCCTTAATTTTTTTAACTTTATTTATTGTACTCCCTAATTTAACCTTAAATATTGCATGCCCTGTCAAACTCTCCATGTGGTTTACAATTTACACAACTCTAAGCTTTGTCATACAATGCAGCAGACATGGGTACTAATAAGACGCTATTCAATCTTACCTAAACTCTGCAACTGCATATATCTTCAAATTGACCGAGCTTAAGCACAAATCCAAATGTGCAAGCTTTAAGTTGATCTTGAACAAAAGATGCATGAACCGTGTATACAAAATATTAGATTAGTCCAAACATAGTTTACTCCAAACGTATGGCCAATTAGTATAGCATTCCATTTTGATAAAAAATAACATTACCAAAAATATAAGTTTATAAATCCATTATCATGAGATCAATTTGGTGGCCATTACTCTGTAGTATGACAAGATGATTTTCTTAAAATTACCATGAATAAGAAAGTTTCCGTATATTGCAATTAGGCGAGAAAATTTTCACTGTGAGAGTGATGTGTAATTTTAGCACTTCGATGCTTGTCTTAGTAGTAATTTTAGTATTTATCAGCAGAAATTCATCAACCCCTCAACATCTGAAACCAGCCAATCTGCCATACTATTGTGATATGCATAAATGCATAATACCTACAAGTAACTTGCTATACCTCTTTACAGTTTCTTTATACAAGCCATGATAACCCAAAAAACAAGAAGATGATATCAGAATGTTAAAACTAACCCTAGGGAAAACCACCAAAAACATCACTCGCCTTGCTTCACCGGGAGTGTGGTCTCTCCTTCCAACAGCTCGATCACAGTTTCTTTTGCCAGAAGCCCCAAACCTCCGAGGTACATCACCACGCTCCCAACAACACCAACCCAAACAAATACGACAGGACCCTGCATACAGTTTAGACAGACTTCATTAATAACAAACATTGTTGTATCTTGTTTCTTACATATTGTAAACCAGCAACTAAGGGCTTGTTTGGCACTGTTTTTTGTTTTCACTTTTTTGTTTTTTTTTTTTGCCAAAAACAGGAAACAAGAAAAAGGTGTTTTCACTTTTCAGTTGTCAGTTTTCAATATTATCATAATTTTAATGGGTTTGTCTAATTTTTGTTTTATTACATGACATATATCATGTGAGTTTGAAAACCAAAAAAACCAGAAAACAGAAAATCACAACGATGTCAAACGAACCCTAAGCAATCCAATGGCACAATTCGAAACAAAATTACCTTGGTGACATTGATTGAGAAGTCACCCACAAAGGCAAGAATCGTGCCAAAAAGGCGAGCCACATTAACAGCCACCTCGAAAACATGTAATTCCTTGTAAAACGGTGTTTTGACAGTGAGCATATACACATACCAAAAATTCACCATTGTCATCAGGGCAAAACCAAACATAATCCAAACCATCCCATCTTCTGAGTAAGATGTAAATTGAGCAAGAAACCCCACAAATATCAAAGAAGAACTCCACATATAAGCAAATGCAGCAATTTTCTGACTTAACATCCTGCTCAAACAGTGGGATCAATGTCAATTACAGCAACCAAGAATCGAGTTAAACAAACAGAGGAATCATATTGTTTGTATGAGTTGCAGCAACTAAGAATGATCAAAGACACTAAAGATTAAAGTTGAATTGAAAACAAAAACAAGCATCGTCGTCAAAATTTCTGATGAAACTTGAAAAACTAGGGTTTAACAACATTGTTGATGAATTAAATGGCGTAAATTCAACATTGTTGAAACAATTGAACGTAAAATAAACAGTATATCAGTAATTTCTGATTAAAGCATAATAAAAAAAACCCTAGAAACTATAGAGAGAGAGAAAATGTACCTCAAGTTGATGGCCGTCGTTGGTCGAGCGAGTGATATGATCTCTGCTCTGCTTTGTATTTTTTTTAAGTACAATATTGCTTTTGATGCTTTTGTTATGAACATCTAAAAAAAATTCGGTTTGTTAACCATATATATCCCTGTTTTTTTTTTTCTTTTTTTTTTTCACCAAAAATTTCAAAATCATTATATACCCCTGAGTTATTACTACAATAATTCATCATCACTCCTAATGACAATAAGATAGGTGAAATTTGGTTAATTATTCATCGAAACCACATCCCTCCCCCATCCTCGAATTCACTTCTCTCTGTTTTTCAACCCCCGAAACCATGGTGAATTTATTGATATATGTTGAATAAACAAAAAACTCAAGGGGATGGTGAAAAAACCAAAAGTAAATTATATAAATGCAAGCCACAAGGTTCAATTTTAAAAAAAAATAACTCAAAAAAACACAATTTTGGTATGAGACAATTTCAGTTTTGAAAAGTCTTTTTAAAAAATTTATTGATTGCATGTCTACAACAGGATCAACCCGGGGCAACGAACGCCTGGACTACTCATTAGTTTTTACCTCAAATCATTCATACGTTCAATAATATGGAGTAACACTTCTCATATAACTCACGATCTATTGTTATATTTCAAACAAATGTGCTTCTGAGCATGTATATGGTGGTTGATCGCACATGACCAAAAAGAGGCCCCAAATTTGATATTTACTAATACAAATTAAAGAGAAAACTTGTTAATTAATCATCTATCTTCATATTTATCATAAAATTGCTAATTTAGTAAAATAATTTTGTTAATATCTTTAATAATGATTTAGGGCCCAATTTTACAAAGTTGCGTCGGGTCAATGTCATTGTTAGCATTTGTAGCCCAACCTCTCCTTTCGAAATGTACGTTACCATTGAAATTTGATTTTTTTAGAAAGTGAATTTCTAAAAAATAAAGATGTTTTCCATCAAAACTAATGGATACTTAATGATTGATTATCAAACACCTTAAACCAAAGTACCTAACAATTAAGATTAAGTTCAATTTTGTCTCGAACAAGTGAGATGTATTGCTGACACTTCAATATATTGTATATCCAACATATGCAATGACAAGCAATCTATATATTTCAATGCTTTTGTGATTGAATATTCATTACATATATTGAAGAAAACAACAACAAAGATATTACAACTACATGTCATAAATTTAGCTGGAAGTGAACTTGTAGGAGCCATGTTTTAAGGTACCACTAGACAAAATACCATTAGTCAAGACACCAGAGTACCAACTGCTATGTACAAGCTCTGCCTTACAATCTTCTCCAGCTGCACCAATCGCGACGTGTAATGGATAAAAGTGATCCGGCATTGGATGTGCTAGTTTCCAATTTGGTGCTTTCGTCTCACATTCATTCACTTCTTCATACCTTAAAATCATAATTGTCCAAACCATAGCTAAAAAATATTAGAAGACTAATTATTTAGCATAATCAGATAACTAAATCAGTTCCATAACATGGTATGTATTATCAAATATGTAATTGTATAAGCTTATTAAGCAACATACATAACATATCATAATTAGTACACTAGGTTAGCTAAAAGTACTTAATTTTGTACATGTTGATATTAAACTTATAACTTTGAAGTATCTATTAAGTTACCTTCCATTAGTTAGAGCAGAATCAAGCCAAGAATCAAACTCTGCAGCCCAAGGAGCAACACCATCACCATCATGAGTGGTATCCCATGAAGGATGTGTTGCACCACTACCGGAACCAATGATGAGTACACCGTCGTCTTTCAAAGGAGCTAATGCTAGTCCTAAGTTGTAGTGGTGCATTCCATCCAAGTGTGGTTGAACTGAAAGCTCACATACAGAGATGTCAGCTTCAGGATACATCAGCATGAGAGGTACCCATGTTGCATGACTAAGAACGCGTTTTTTGTCAATGTACACGGATTCGAACCCGGATTCATTGAGAAGTTTCTCTACCTTTTTTGCCAAATTTGGTGCTCCAGGAGCAGGGTACTTTACCTGGTTTTTAATCAATTTAGCAACAACTATATGTTATGCTTCCTATTTAATTATGTACATTAAGTCAACATGGGTAGTGATTAGGAACATAAACTTGCTTGGTTTAAAACGAGCTAACACGGGTAGTGATATAAGATTATATAGACACGGTCTACTTTTGGGAGACTTTCTTTGATGTTGATCTAAATAAGATTTTACCAACTAAGTTAGGTGACATCTACTTACCAATAAAAAAAAAACATATATATATATATACACGCAGATTAACTGAACCGATATACTAGTATTGAGAAGAGAGTGAGAAAACGGACCTGGTACAAGGAAGCAGGGTAAGTAACACCTTCATAATCATAGATTGTATCATTGAGATGAACAGAATTAACAGCAGGTTGATCAGTAATCCAGTGAGATGAAATGACCAAAATAGCCTTTGGTTTCTTAGAATAGACATTTTCTTTCCAACTTTTAAAGAATGAATGTAGTGGATGTACCTCTTCTATTGTCAACTTTGGGCAACCATGTGTTATGAAGAACGTTTCTTTCATCTTTTCTTCTTCACCCATTTTTCCACTTGAAATTAATTGAATTCACTAAAAAAAATTCTTCAATTCCTTTGATTTATGAAGCAAAAATTGTACTAACTCATTAATTTGTTTTGTGTATTAGTTCAAATTAATTTTTTTCAAGTCTTTTTAAATTTGGTTTAAGTGGTAATTATTGTTGGAATGTTAACATCAATTTTATAGTTCTATAATTACATGGAGTCAGTATTCTAGATATGAGCTGTAGAATATTGGGGTGTGTACTATGACAACTAAACAATAATATTGTAACACTTTCCTACTTAAAGTTGACCAAATAATTGTTGGTTTTAGGTAATCAGAAAACTTTAAAACCAAATATAAATCAACAATTATTGGATGCATTATACATTTATACTCCATAGTCTATACGAGATATGAGGCTACAGCAATTAGCTAGTTCGTAACTACCTCGTTTTAAGTTATACAAGCTAAGAGACGCACACAATGCGTGCGTGTGCAATATAAGTAATCTACCAAGCTCGATTTTTTTTTTCCACAATATTTAAAAAAAAAAAAAAATATTAGTAGGTTTAAGAATTGTTGATAAAATATAATTAAAAAAAAATTCTGTTGATGATGTCATGTAGGCTAAACAATAGAATTTGATTTTTCTTGAAAAATAATTTTTTTTAAAAAAAAAAGAAAAAAGAAAAGATGGAAGTTTTTTTTTTTAAAACTAAAGATGGTAGTTTTTTTTTTTTTTTTTTTTTTTTTGAAACAAAAGATGGTAGTTTTTAAAGATAGTAGTTACATTTTTTTTTTAAAGATGGTAATTTTTTTAAGGAAAAATTACCCGGATTAATCCGACCTTTTGCCCGTCCGCTGAAAATAATCCCACCTATCGATTATTTTTTAATAATCCCACCTTTACCCCCCGATCTTTTCTATTGCTCCCAGTTTACATGAAACCGACTAACAGGGTAAACAGTTGTGACGTGGACTTGGGTATTTAATTTTCCCTCTCTTAAACATGACAGGTCATCTCTCTCCCACCCACCCTCTGTTATTTCTGAACTTTCTCCCTCCCTCTTCATAACTTCTTACACAGAGCAATTAAAATTGGGTTTGAAGTAGATCAAAAGCCATAATTGAAGCTTCAACAACTATCGTACCTTGCAGTAAAGTCTGAAACTTCCATTTTTGGCGGAATTGCGACAGTTAAACCCTAAATTTCGCCATTTTAGGTAAGGTACTAAACCCTAACTTTTTCCTGTAATTTGCGATTCATTGCGTCTAAATTTGGAAACCTAATCAATTGAACTGGAAGTTGATGAATTTATGCTTGTAATTGCAATGTATTTGTTCAATATGGTTGTGAATTGTTGTTTTGTTGGCTAAAAATTTGCGCATTATGTGTTTGTTAATGTTAGTGGTGTATGATTCTTAAAGTCTGGGTTTTTATTGCGTGCTTTTGGTGGTTGTTGTATGTTGATTGTAATTTAGTGCATGTTAATTTAGGTATGGGTAAGATTACCTTGAAAATGTGGCATGGAGGTGTGTTTGAGACTGGTAACAATGGGCAGTTGCGCTATAGGAATGGGGAGGGGAGAACATTTAGCATAGACCCAGATGAACTTTGCTCCTTTTATTTGGTTGAGTTGGTTATGAAGTGTGCTAAATATGATGGGAGGATAAAGGGGTTTTTATACTTGGTTCCTGGGTTGAGTATGGTGGATGGTTTGAGGAAGGTGACAGATGATGAAAGTATGAGGGATATGATTCAAGTTGCAGAGAAGTACAGGGGGGTGGAGGTATATGTTATGCATGATGACAATGACCCAATACCCTTCCCCCCACAGTTACAGGCTTCTGCCAAAAAGAATCAACCCAAAACAGTCATGCAAAAAAAACTACCAATAAATAGGGGACCACAAATTAGATGTAGTCCAAGAAAGAAAAGTCAGCCTTTGACAATTAATGAACCTACCCAAAAAGCCCCTGACAGCTCACTAAAGCCAAAAACAGATGAGTTTAAAAAAGATTCCCCCACTGTTGAGTTAAACAAAGATGCTCCCACTGAATCTGTTCCCACTCCACCCACCAACACCTTATCCAACCAAAGCTCTTTTAGAGTTAAATATGTTATAAACCCTAGTTCACCAACTGCAACAACTCTCCCCACTCTCTCTTCTCTCATAGCACCCTCAAACACCCAAACTGACCAGTACAGTCATATGAGTGGGAAGATTCTAGGCCAGATAGCCCCATCCCAATTAATGACCTGATTCCAGATTATAGCACTGAGAGTGACCATGAAGACCCTCCATACAACCCACTGGTTGACAAGGGCAAGGGAGTGAGCTCAAAGCCTTTCTTTGGAGAGGTTTACTCAGATCATAGTGATGAGGATGTGGAGTCAGATGGGGAGCAGGGAGCAGATGTTGATGGTGATGATTTAGAATTAGAGGTTGAAGGTTTAGAGGAGTTAGAGGAGGAGTATGAGAGGGAACATGAAGAGATCTTGGATGAAGATCTACAATATCAGTCTGATAGTGGAGATGAGGAGTACAATATAGCTAGGCAGAGGGTTAGGGATACAACTGCCCAGCTAGTTGACATTGCAAGGAAGATACAATTGGAGGCTGCTAGGGGTTTGAGCATACAAGAAGTTGCTGAGAACAAGGAAGAAGCTGGGGAAAGTGCAGCAACTGGGGCTCAGAGTGATTATGAAGAAAGTGATGAAGAAATTCATACCCCTCCCAACAGTGGTGATGAAGAAGAGTTGATTCCAGGGAGGAGAAGAAGGTTAGGGCTTTTAGTGTCTAAGCATACAGAATTTAGCACATTTGTTTGGAAGGTTGGGCAGAAGTTTGCCAACAGAGAGGACTTCAAGGATGCAGTTGCTAAATATGGAATACTTCAGGGCAGAGATATGTTTTTTGTTGTGAGCAACAAGCAAAGATCTCAGAGATTGGGTGTAAGGTGCATAGAGAGCTGTCCTTTTTATGTGTATGCATCCTGGGATACAAGAAGAGCAACATTTGTGGTGAAGACAGTGAAAGGGGAACACACCTGTCAGAGAAACATGAAGAGAAACAGGCAGCTCAAATCTAGTTGGGTTGCAAAGCAGTTCCTGGATGTCTTCAAATCTAGGCCACATTGGCCTGCAAAGGAGATACAAGAGTGTATAAGGAAAGCTTACAAGATGTTGGTGACCAGAGACTTTGCCTACAAGGTGAAGTACAATGCTCATAGGTTGTTACATGGGTCAATGCATGACCACTACAACAAGCTTGGAAGGTACTTGAAAGAGATTGAGAACTGCAGCCCAGGGACAGAGATTGAGCTTGTAACTGAACCATCAAAACAAGGAGACCAACCTGTATTTCAAAGGTTGTTCATTTGCTTTGAGGGGCTTAAAAATGGGTGGATACAAGGATGCAGGAAAGTGTTGGCAGTAGATGCATGCTTCTTAAAGACTTTCTTAGGGGGTCAGCTGTTGGCTGCTGTTGGAAGGGACAGCAATGACCAAATGTTTCCTGTCTGCTGGGCAGTGGTTGAAGGAGAGAATAAATCCTCTTGGGAGTGGTTCTTTAGGAAGGTAGCAATGTGCCTAAGTCTGGGAGAAGGGGAAGGCATCTCAATCATTTCAGATGAGCATGTGGTATGGACTTAACTTTGTACTCATTTATTGTTAAATAGTTTACATAGGCTAGTTTATGTTGTGTGCAAACTTTGACTTGGTTTTTATATTTTTTTTTGGCTTTTTTTTGTGCAAATGTAGAGTATTGTGAGTAGTGTCTCAATTGTCCTACCTAGGGCAGAACATAGACACTGTGCCAGACATATATTTGCTCACTGGCACAAGAAATATAGAGGAGATGAGATTAAATTGTTGTTCTGGGCTATTGCAAAGAGCTACAATGAAGCTGATTATGAAGAGAACATGGCTAAGCTTAGTTCTCTCAATGTTGATGCTGCCAATGACTTCAAGCTGCATAGGCCTCAGTTGTTTTGCAGAGCTTTCCTCAATCCTGCTATCAAAACAGATGCAATAACTTCCAACATTGCAGAGACATTTAATGGTTTCATCATTCAAGCAAGGACCAAACATTTGCTATACATGTTAGAAGAAATCAGAACTTCACTGATGCAAAGGCTGGTAGTGAAAAGGCAGGCCATGATGAAAGCTACTGGTGTGCTCTGTCCAAGGATTCAAGCCAAGTTGGATTTTGAGAAGACAAAGGCTGCTGAATGTGAAGTGTAGCCTTCTTCTGAAAATAATTTCAATGTTAGCTACATATTGGATCAATTGGTGGTGAGGTTGGAAGAAAGGAGCTGTACTTGTAGAAAATGGGACATGACTGGCATCCCATGCTGTCATGCTGTTGCCTGCATCTATTTTGTGGGAAAGGAGCCTGAGTTGTATGTGCACTCATCATATTTCAAAGACACTTACATGTCAGTTTATGCAGGTACAATAACTGAACCATTTCAACATTTGTGTATTACTTTGTTAGTGTATGTGTATGTGTCACATGTTACTTGTGTATGGCAGGCTCAATTCGCCCAATTCAAGGTGAAAGACACTGGCCTAAAGTGTCCAAATCAATTGCTCCACCACCAATCAAAATTGGCCGAGGAAGGCCAAGAAAAAATAGAATCAAAGACCCCCATGAGAACCCTAAGAAATCTGGTACAATGACCAGAGCAGGGATTGAGATGACTTGCTCACTCTGCCAGCTTAAGGGACATAATAAAAGAAAGTGCCCCAACAAGGACAATGTGCAGCCAACTGAACCTGCTCCAAAAAGGGCTAAAGGAAGGCCTAGAAAGGATGCTCCACCACCAACTCAGCCCTCAATAGCTAGTCAGGCTGTGCCATCTACACAAGCTAGTCAGGTTGTGCCATCTGCACCCCAAGGACCTAATACAAGTCACTACAATCAAACAGCTCAACCCACCATACTAGGTAGAGGGGGAAGAATGATAAATATGAGAAGGGGCTCTAGGGGTGGAAGGGGTAGCGGAGATGGTGCTGGGAGAGGTGTTGTTACTGGTGGGAGAGGGGCTACTGCTGCTGGTAGAGGAGTGGATGCTGGGAGTGGTGTTGCTGCTGGGAGAGGCTCTGCTGGAAGAGGTGTTTCAAGTACCGCAGGCTCCAGCAGTGGTGGTGCAAGTGGGAACAGGGGTGCTGCAAATGGGACCAGAGGAAGGGCAAGGGGTGGCTCAAGGGGCAGGGGAAGGAACCAGGTGGGTTTTTGTTCTCATACATCCCTCAATTAGATCCTAAACTTGTTTATGGTGTGTACTTATTTCCTTGAATTTTTTGTGTTTTGTTCAAATTCCACAAGGTGTAGGTATGTACATTGCACCTGATGGATCAGCCCACACTAATCAAAGAAGGACAAGGTCAGCCATGGACTAGTTTCAGTGCAGTCAAACAAGCCAAACCTCCACTTTGCAACAAGGACCAACTCAATAGTTTCATGTCACTCATTAGACTTAACTATGTTTATATTATACATTTGGATACAGTCTTTTGATCATGTTGGGTGTGCTAATTCCTACAGCAATTACACCCAATTCATGATGTATTTTGTGTATGAATGTTAGGCCAGACAATGTCACCATCTTTTGTTGAACTTATGCAGCTATGTGATTATGCTACATGTCTGAATTTCAAGTATTGTGCAAACAATTGTCAAAATAACTTTCATTAACTCATCAATGCATTGCTCATTACATAACAACTTGGTCTTTGCTCAATACATGTCACAAATGACCACAACACATTACTTAACCAAACTAAACTGACTTCACTTTTAACTACCTACAATCATTTGCAATACATCACAGTCATGCCTTCAAAATCACTATCATGAAAGCAAAGACAATCTAAGAAACCAACAGAGAAATGGAAAAATTCTTTTCATTCCTTGTAGCCTTCATCAATTCAATTCGAGTGTGGCAAAGCTCCATTTTGGTGTCATCTAATTCATCCTCTTTACTTCCCATTTTCTTCTCAACCTTCTTCAATTCTTCTTTAAGGAAATCAATCTCCATTTCCTTTTCAGCAACTTGAGTATCTCTTTCAAACACTTGAAATCGTAGGTCATCAACAACTTTGGGGTTAACATGAGCCCACTCAAAGAAGCCACAGTCACCATCCTGCAAAAAAAAATTAAAAAAACCCCAATTCAATTAGAATGAAAACCCTACATTCAAATCCCCAATTTAATTGGAGCAATTAACCTTAATTAATCACACACATAATGTCGCAATACACCTGGAACTTACAGGCCATCTAGGGCATCCATGGAACTTCAACCCCACGTTCTCACCATTCTTAACCGTGCGTGTAATTGCTTCCAAACCACACCTGCACTTCATTTTTGACGCAACCAAGCTGTAATTCCTTGACGAAGTAGAACTACTTGACCCATTATGCCTCCTACTAGCCATTTTAGATAGATTTAACAAAGAAGAAATTTAATTAAGAGAAGAAAATCAGAGGGGGAGGTGTTTTTTTAGAACAGAGAACGAAGAAGGAGAAAGCAAAATTGTTGACCTGGCAATTTTTAAAAGGATTGTAACCGTTGGTAGCCACGTCATCCCAAAACCGGCTACAATAGGTAAGGTAACCTGTAGGGACCAATAGAAAAGATCGGGGGGTAAAGGTGGGATTATTAAAAAATAATCGATAGGTGGGATTATTTTCAGCGGACGGGCAAAAGGTCGGATTAATCCGGGCAATTTTTCCTTTTTTTAAATGAGAGGGGTATTTTGGAAAAGTAAAATTTATCACCAAAACCCCCTTTTTACGTCCACCATTGAACAAGAGAGTAGTTGTATTAATCTTGAACTAAACTATGTTGAATAATGTGAGAGTTCGTGATGGATCACTCAAAACAACAAATTGATTCAATTCCAACTAACTCGTTATTGATATAAATTACTTAGGATTATCTTCATGCATCAAGAAATACACATAATTTTCTTGTATGTCCAACAATGTGCACCAATCTACTTTGGAGCAAAGTCATGCACTAATTTTATTATTTTTCAACATTGAAGAAAATAGCCAACAAAATTAAAATAAAAATTACAATTACTAAATATTTATACAAGAAAGTTAAATGGAAGTGAACTTGTAGGAGCCATGTTTCAAGGAATTATCAGAAAACCAACTGCTATGAATAAGCTCTGCCTTACAATCTTCACCAGCAGCTCCAATTGCAACATGTAATGGATAAAAATGCTCCGGCATTGGATGTGCTAATTTCCAATTTGGTGCTTTGGTTTCACATTCATTCACTTCATCATACTTTCCATTTATTAGAGTTGTTTCAAGCCATGAGTTAAACTCTGCAGCCCAAGGAGCAACTTCATCATAATGAGGTGTATCATATGCAGGGTGTGTCGCGCTCCCAGAACCAATGATGAGTACACCATCATCCTTGAGAGGAGCCAGTGCGCGTCCCAAGTTGAAGTGGTGTGTTGCATCCAAACTCGGTTGTACTGAGAGCTCACATACAGGGATGTCAGCCTCAGGGTACATCAGCATGAGAGGTGCCCATGTTACATGATCAAGTCCACGTTGTTTGTCAATGTGCACAGATTTGAACCCTGATTTAGCTAGAAGTTCCTGCACCTTTGCTGCCAATTTTGGAGCTCCAGGAGCCGGATACTTCAGCTGATAATTGAATGAAGAATTGTGTTATTTTCCTTACAATATATAACTTTGTTTATAAAGAACAATGAAGAGCATTGTTATCTTGTTACAAATATTTAAAGTTGCCTATATAAGCTTATAACATGACAAGTTTTTTTCATGTTAGATTCACATAATATTCAACAATTTTACCTTTGAGATGAATTTAGTCCAACATTAGCTAAAAGAGAGATGAATTTCTTTAGTTGTATAGCCCTCTAGGAAGAGCTAAGTAGTAACATAGACGAGGTTTGACCATATGTCTTATTCATAACGACTTCATCTAGTATTCAATAGTTTAACTCTATTATCGAAAATAGAGAAAAATAAAACACAAAAATGAAAAATAAGGCAAAAATAGAGAATTGAGAATGACCTGATATAAAGGAGCAGGGTAAGTAATGCCTCCATAATCATAGATAGTATCATTGAGAATTACAGAATTAACAACAGGATGATCAGTTAACCAGTGAGCTGAAATGACAAGAATAGCCTTGGGTTTTTTGGAATACACTTTTTCTTTCCAATTTTTGAAAAATGGGTGTAATGGGTGTAGTTCATCTGTTATTAACAATGGGTTTCCATGAGTTATGAAGAAGGTTTCTTTCATCTTTACTTCTTCACCCATTTTTCCAGATGAAATTATATGATTGATTTTCAGTTTAGTTATGATTTATATACAATAGCAAGTTTTTGATGCCTTCCAAATTATAAGATACAAAATTACAAATTAGCAGGTGGATTAAATGGAATCAGTCTTTAATTTATTTTTTGTTTGTTAATTTTCTTATTTTAATTTGAAATTAAATGTTATTTTTTGCATTCGTTCCTAATTAAATCATACTTTGTATGAAACTTGAATAATACTTTTTCCTTAAATAATAATAATAATAATAATAATAATAATAATAATAATAAAAAAAAAAAAAAAAAAAAGAAAGAAAGAAAAATCTTGAATAAAAACTATTGGAATGTTAACATCAATTCCACAGCAGCATATCATATCAAGCTAGTTGTATAATTCAACTTGATCTTTTTTACTTTTTTAGTAAAGATCGAGCAATTTAATATTGGAGTATGATTTGGACAAGTAATCATCTTGGTTTTGAATAATTATTTCATTGTATTAAAAGGTACCAAATTGGTTAATAAACAAATTCAACGACCATAGTTTTATAAATACAAAGAAAAAGACTTGTTATGAACAACTATCATTTTTATATCCTCTTAATTCAACATTTATTTTCAATTTTTGTAAACAAGGATTCAGTGATTTCAGTCTACTGTATTAGCAGTCATATCTAAACGGCAGAATTTCACTTCAAGGAAAACCCTTCAGATAATCAGATCTATTTACAGCAAACACAGATTGATGGCTCATGGATGAAGAAAACGATATACTCCGTACTTCATACAGGATAATAACAGTTCAAGCTTAAAGAAAGCTATTGTGTACCTAAAATTTTATAATCAATGAAGAATATAGTGTATAAAAATTGAGGAGCAGCACACTGCATAGCTCAATCAACATTACCAGCCAAGGTATTGGCAGTGGTGTCTCTAACTCTAAGGCATACAACGGACCTTTTCTCAATTCACGGTCAATCTTGTAATGGTTATTGATGTGTGGACTGTGGTTGATGTGGACTGTGAAGGGTAATAAGACTACTGCTAAGCAACTTAATGTGAAATGAAGACAAGTCATTCATATCAAGAACTAACTGGGAAGAATACAGCTTAAATACCTATAAATGAAAATCATAAATCATACAGCATGTACCGGAGCACTATTATATCATGATTCATGAATTTTATTCGGAGTAAAATGCCAAACTATAATTTGCTGTGTATAATCCATTTTTTCTCTATTATATTTTGTTGTGTTAGTACTTAGTAGAGTTTCTAACTTCCTATATTATAATGAAGCATCTGTATGGGTTTTCGATAATTACGTATGTACTTTCATACTTCGCATCAAATATCTCTCTCAATCATCTCGCCTTATTTCTGAACCTTCTCATGTAATAGCTGCAAAACAAATATGAAAACCCAACCTTAATGACAACATATAAATGCAATAATCAGATGCATTGCAATGATAGCTTTTATAGTTAACTATGCAACTTCCACTAAAAAGATATGCAAAAGTGAAACTAGGGGCAAAGAGGAACCAGGAGATAGGTTTCAAAATTTCCTATACTCCAACAGTCCAACAGCTCCAAATGCATAATTAACAGATAATATGAACTTGTATTATAATCATCTCTTATATGTATACACACTTTAACTTTCCATTTCCTAATTCAACACATCAACTACTTCAGTAGAACTGAAGACAATATGAAAGTGGTGCCATTATTGACACCTAACATTCCAAGGCATACATACGGCAACCAAGACCAGCAGAAATGCATCTGATTGTTTTTTAAAGTATTGGCGATCCTGTTAGCTAGAGTTTACAGTAACTTATCAAAAATCTAAATCACAAGTATTCCTGCATGCACAGAAAGCATTACAGATCTGTAAGATAAGATGTGTGTGACAAATCTTTTCATATTTCATGTTCCATATACTTTAATAGAACATACTGATAAAAGAGAAGGCACATTTTAATGGAATAATCATGAACATGATGATCCTGCATTCTTTACATAGAGAAGTCATCACTTGAGTGAAATTATGCTAGGGAAAAAAGGTGAGATGAACTGAGGTGAGGGATTGTCCCCTCGATTATCTGCTTTTGAGATGAAGATGAGATGAGAATAGATGTTAACCCCCTAGGTTAAGGACTAATGGATGACCATAGACCATCATACTTTTGGCTTTGATAGCCACAAGAGAGAGATAAATAATCATTTGAAATTTTGAATCCTAGATGTATAGATTTTGGCCAGAGCCCTTGCTTGTAAGAGGAGCAGTCGTTCACATTCCTTAGAGCTAATGAGGGCTGTGAGTTATCCTAGCTTAGGTGCCTCAGGGAGTAAAGGTTATGTGTCTTAAGCATGCCATTCTAATTCAGCTATTTAAGTCGGACTACGAAATGACTAGAGAGTCGGGTCTTCAACACATGACTACAGAGTTCAGAACTAAGAAATGTGGCATCTAGGCTTTGAAGCCATGCACTGCATACGCTACCACTACATTACTACACAAAGCATAAGGCATAAGCTTTGGCTCAACCAATTAACCCTAGAAGTTAGCAGATCCTCTAAAGAAACAACATAAGCTTAGCTCTATGCAAACCCTTTCAGCAATAATGCAGAATTTGAGGGTGGTGGCGGCAGCATTTTAGGATTTCATCCAAGGTAAGCACACGCATTTATAATTCTATGCTAGTTAATTTGACAGTACATTCAATTTTCAAATTCTGAAGCAGCACAACTGTACAAGTTTTCCTCAGCAATGTACATGAGTAAATTTTGTTCTTTAGATTGTATGGTTTAAAATGTAAGTCTGAAGTATGAATTATGAGTAATGCTGTCCATTTATCAAATGAAAAATCAAACCTTATGTATTATTATGGAGAGTACAATTATGGATCAAGCATTGGACATGCTCACTAACCAGTTAACTCCAGGCAAAAAGCAAATCTGAATTGTGTCAAAACTTCTTCACCAACTTGAAATGCAGAAGCAGACTAAACTAATTGAACGCAAAGAGCTGATAATTGCAACAAGAACATAAGCCATGCACCATATGACAGCTGACAAGATTCTCGAAACATCTGAATGTGCCATGCAAATCTGACATGCAAACAGCATACAAAGTGGTCAAGTAAAGCAAATGAGTAAACAAACATGGACTGCTATCCATCACCCCCCCCCCCCTACCAAAGAGAGATAAAGAATGACAGCTTGATTCTATGAAATCCATATAGTCCCTAATTCAATTATGTTAGGCAAATCCATATTCATGAACTGCAATTCTTTCATGTTACGCAAAACAAATTTCATGAATTGCAATTCTTTCATTTGGATCTAGTCAGACCAAGTAAATGGAAGAGGGAGGGGAAACATCAGCACATCACAATTTCAGAAGTAAGTGATGCTGAAATGAGAAAACAAGATCTCCTTTGAAATGAAGAGTACACTCTCTCCAATTTTTTTCACCCATTAGAATATTAGATTACCATACTTCCATTGATTGGCCCAATGATCCTCACGACCCCACTCCATAATTTCTCCGTGAAATAGATATCCTAACATCACCATCAACTCATCCATTCCCAGTATAACCAATTCTTCATTCCCTCTACAGTACATGTAACCTTGAATTGTGTCTTGAACTCTTAAAGATCAAACAGTAGAATGTTCAAAAATCAAGGGAATGGTAATGTGCTAATCAGCTAGAGTACCCAACGCAATTCATCCTCACTACCAGATTCAAAGCTACATTCCCTATATAACTAATTCCGCTCAACTCATAGAATATTCAGAACTCAAGGAAATGGTAATATGCTCATTAGCTAGAGTCCCCAACAGGCAAACACAATGTATCCACACTACCAGAAAGCTCTTTCCTACATAACTTTCGTCAACACTAACAGCCACACCACATAGTAGAACCATAGCCACCCAGTACTCGAAATCCATTAGCAGTGGCAAACATAACATATTCTACACACTATACTCACATACAAACTCATTATCATTTCCGTAGTTTCGACCACACAATACTATTCTAACTCTACAAAAAAGGCAATTAAACTGGGTCAAAAAACTTAAGAACAATGCCAACTTCCACCATCAACTTTACAAGGGACTAAAAACACACATTTCCCAAACAAATAAAATGTGCAATTACTAATCTACAACTCTTTCCAGGATATCTTATTGTCACCCTACATCAATTGAACAACCACCAATCAACTCCCAAGCTTTTCAACACTTCAAAATAATGCTAAGGATCCTAAATTTCCAGAAACAGACTTAAATTCAATTCAATTAATGGCATTTCATCACAATAATCAATCAAAAAATAAACCCCAGATGAAAATACCAAAATCTAATTCATAATTTTTTCTTCAACATTAGAAAAAATCGCCAAATTTTTCCCTTGTTCTTGTTTTGACTATAGTCAAATGCCAATTTCAGGCCTCCATTGTTGAATTAAACAACAAAAAAATAAAAACCCAATAAAATATGAGTGAGTTGATAATTATACATCCTCAATTTAATGTAAAAAAAATACCCAAACATGAAAAATAAAAGAGCAGAAAAATGAGGAGAGAGAAAATACCAGGGGTTTAAGAAAAAGACTGAAATCTGAAAGAAATCAGAGGCAGCAAACAAAGCTTGAAAATCGGCATTCACACATCCTTTACTACGCGATCCCTTCCTTTGGTAAGGTAGCCCAATGCCCATACAAACAAAATTAAAATAATAGGAGAGAGAAACTCAAGGAAATTTCGGCGATGAAGTAGACTTTATTATTCTATCATAAAATAATTGGAAATTAAACACGATGTTTTTTTTTTTTTTTTTTTGTAAATCTTCAACCAACACTATTAAAAACAAAATCCTCAACAAAACAAAGGAAATTTTATGCACTTACATTTTTTTTTTCCCTTCTATTTTTAAATTTGAGTACGTCATACACAAATTCTTGATTAAAACGGATTTTCATTAATAATACTATGAAACAAATAAAGTGTAAGTTATGATAAAACGGGTTAAAGTTATCATAAAAATACCTTTTTATACTACAAAAGTTACTATTTTTATAACAAAACTTTCTCGTCAAAAAAAAAAAAAAAAAAAAACTTTACCCTTAAAAAATATTTATAATATATTAGATTAATTATATTCCGTATTAGTTTTCAAAGCATTTATTTATTAGAAATTACACATTAA